CCCCCCCCGGGCTTCTGACATTCCTTTGAGTATTATAAATTCTGTAAGGTCTATTTGATTGAGTCATATATGATGATGGTGATGATGCTGATTATGCATGAGTGTTGATGATGATGGTGGTTGTGATGTCATAATGATGATGCTGATAATACTTGATAGCATGTTGATGATGATGGTGGTGGGGATGTCATGATGGTGGTGATGATGCTGATAATACATGATAGTGTTGATGATGATGGTAGTTGTGAAATCATGATAGTGGTGATGATGCTAATTATACATGAGTGTTGATAATGATGGAGGTTGTGATGTCATGTTGGTGATGGTGGTGATGATGCTGATTATAATGATCATGATGATTGTGTGATTGTTGTGATGTTCTTGATAATAATGGTAATTTTGATCTTGCTGACAATAATGATGGTTATGATGGTGATGATGGTGGTTGTGGTGATGACGGTGGTGTTGTTGATTTTGGTGATGATGCTGATAATGTCAATGATGATGATGGTTATGACTTTAATGTTGATGCTAATGCCAATATTGATATTTAACTCATATATTCAACTAATTGATTGACAGCACCAACACAGGATCTAACGTTCATGGTTCCCAAGATCCACTCAACTGAATACCAATATTACGGAAGTGGCGAGACTGTCAATGTCTAGATTTCCGGTTCTGGTTGTCAAAAATTTGTTCAACATAACACAGGAATCTCAGAAACGTATTTAAATTAACAACACGCTTTTTATGAAATAATGGTATGCAATATATTTTATATTTAGGTGCAAAGTAATTGCGGCTTGTCTTGCATTAATCAATTGGTATCAAATACTAGATACCACAGCTTGACATAAAAAAGATGAGCAAAATAAATAAAAAAAATTAAAAAATTAATTCATTAGAGATTCCCATTTTATTGGAAATCAAAACTTGCATGACAGTATTTTTTCATGATAGAAACATATACTTAGTTTCGTTATTCACTCGAAATTGATCTTTCTACTTCACTGATGTAATCATCCGTAATTGTTTTTTGAATAAAGTATCATCATTATCGAAAGTGATGAACATTTTTTGTTGCAAGGCTTAATGGTATTCTCGCAATGTCCTAATGATAAATGTTAAACAGGGAAACATCAAATTTATTGATACCCTGAAACAACCTCTGGGCTGATCAAAGTTAGGACATGGCTAACCCGTAGACCGAACCCTGAAACAAAATCTGGCATGGGTTTAGGGGCGTGGCCAGGACTTTGCCTTTGGTCAAAGTCCGTACATGGCTAACTTACAGATTGACTTGGAGTTAAGCCTGTCGGGTTTTGTTCCCTACGACCAGATTCTCTCCTTCCCCCCCCCCCCCCCCCCCCCCCCCCCCCCCCTCACTACCAAAGGAAAGTAGACTCTACTAGCAGGGGATAGTTGCTGCGGTGGGATGAAAGGAAAAGAACTAACAAACTCCACCTGTATGTGATGCCAAGTCAAGAATTGAACCCGAGACCCCAGAGGTGAGAAATGAGTGTACTACGGTCACGCGACCTTTAATTTCTAATTGGGATCGACTTTAACAGTGTTTTGGGGGAAAGAGAGCAAGATTTCTCAATCTGACGTTACATCACAACAATTATAAAGAAGTATATTGCACAATTCTGTATGCGTTATTTTAATCAAAGGAAATATGAAGAGATGGCAATAAAAACACCAATAAACTCCAATCATACTCGACGACTCTGGCTTTTTGCTTTATAATGCATTTTGTTTAAAAAAAGATGTTACAAGTTAAAGAGATTTACCAGAAATATCAAGAAAGGGATGTATAGTAAAAAATGGTATTAGGGGACGAGGTGGGATACAACGGTTGACGAAAGTTTCCAACAACAAAAGGTTGATTGAAGTTTCAATTCTAATATGCAGTCTGGTAATCACCTAACTTAATCGCCCAACTATATGGTAACAAAATAAATATCGAATAAAACATGATCTACATTGGATTCCGTACTGGATTGTCTGCATGATTTTGCAATTGTGCTATGGGTTTTTTTCGGGCTATAGCACCATATGCATTGAGCAAATATCCCGAAAGAAAGAAAAGTCAGTTTTATTTTTGTCATCCTTTCTTGGAATATTAATTGCATTTTCAGTTAAACTGAGCCATTTTAGAAGATCTGTACTCTGTTATTTCCGCTGTCTACAACTATGACGTTTCCATCATTCGTCACAGCGATCCCACATGGGTTCCTAAAGTTGCCCTCTTCATCACCGAATTGACCAAATGAAGACACAAACACTCCATCAGTGGTGAAGATCTGAACGCGATGGTTGTGATAATCACAGACAATAATATTGTCTTCGTCATCGAACGTCACGCCTTCAGGTCCATCAAACAAACCATTTTGTGTTCCTGCATGGATTAAAGAAAGAGACGACTATTAAACACCATTTTCATCTAAGGATGCTGTTGGGGTGGAAAAAAAGAGTTTTGGTAAATCCAAATAATAACTTTTTGTGATTGGTTGATAAAACAAAAAAAGTTATGCGAAAAGCGTGTGACGAAACAACTTACCTTCTTTGCCAAAACTAAAGGAGTAAGCTCCTTCAAGATCAAATATCTGGACTCTGTCGTTCACACAATCAGCCACAGCGATCCTGCCACGCTGGTTAACGCACACATGATGGGGGTAGATGAACTGCCCTTTACTAAACCCTTGACAACCGAATTTTCGAACGAGTTCACCGTTGGCGTCAAACATCTGAACCCGGTGATTGTCCTGTTCTGAAACTATTATCATTCCCCCAGTTGTGCATGCAACACCGCACGGATGATTCATAGAGCCTGGTTCTTCAGCTCCATAGAAACCAAATTTTCGTAAGAATCGACCATCTTCGTTGAAAACTTGAACACGGTGATTATTGAAGTCAGCGACAACTATTTGTCCATTTGGAAACCTTGCCACTCCTTTTGGGTTCTTAAACTGGCCTCTGTCAGAACCTTCAGTGCCAAACTTAAACATAAAGGTCCCTTCAAAGTCAAAGACTTGAACACGATGGTTATTACAGTCTGTGATGATAAAACAGCTGTTGTGGTTATCAATGGCAATTGCCCAAGGCATATTGAATTCCCCACCCCCAGTGCCTTCAGTGCCGAATGTCCTCATCGTCTTGCCTAGTTTACCGTAGTCCATTCTGCCGGTGACGTTGACGGAGAACGGACTACCGCCTATGTTTCTGTTTCTGATCGTTACATAAACAGTGTGAGTTCCTCGTTCACTGGGTTGGTAGGATACCGTGTAGGTACCGTCTTGGTTGTCAATAACGCTACCTGCAATAAAAAGAAGAAGGTCATAAAGGAAGGCTTCTCAAAAACATTTCCAGACTAAATTTTAGCACAATACCATGCACAGAAGTGACCCAACCCCAACCTTGGCCAACCTCAGGCGAGTTCCCTACTGCTAACGCCACCTTTGAGCACCCTTGGGRCACAGTCTAGAATGAAAACCCGATCAAAACCCCAAAGGTAGGAGCTCGAGGCAAGTGCCCTACCGCTAACGCCACCCTTGATCACAACTTACCTTCATACTGGGTTCCTTCTGGTGGCTTAACGACAACCTTAACAGGCTCACCGCCACCACTGAATATCTCGTTCATCCTGTCCTTGGCTGTTACCATGAACACAGCTTCTAATCCTATCTTTGCTCGCTGAACTCCAACCCCTGTAGCATAACAGAACCTTGGGTACGAATGGTACATCTTAACAGTACCCATCTTCTCGATGGCAATTCGAAATTCATCGGGATTCAAAGAATAATCAATGATTTCATCTTCTAAAGGTTCATACTCTAGCTTCACTTGGTTTAAATCTTGCAGCCTTGAAGTCATCTGCTTTCGTACTAACATGACCTCCGCTTCATTACCGTGTTTTAGGGCGTTCTCAGTAAAGTCTATACCACTGGTCAAGTTTCCAAGCATCATTTCAAGTTCCTCGCCTTGGATATCAAGCGTCTTGGCCTTCATTTTATGTACATTGTTTACCTGGGTAAGTAGTTCTTCCTCACGTTCTTTGACAACTTCTAAGCATTTTTTAGTTGTTCGCATGATCTCTTGTCGGATTTCCTCGGCTTTGCAGTCTGCTCTCTTGCGCATGTCTTTGACTGAATCGATGGCTTCCTTTAGTGGACCCAACTTCTTTTTGGTATTCATTACTAGAACACCAACCTGAATAGAGCAAAACATATTTAAACATATGGCTGTATTTATGTGCACATCACGAGGGAGGAACCAGGGGAAATGGAAAAAATAAGCCGTCCTTAAAAAAGGTTCTATATTGCTCTAAAAATCTTTTTATATATGAAAACATTTTCGTCTCACTTTCCTTGAATACCAATGCTACGTTTCTTAAATGGCTTGGTCATTCAACCTGGTGCCAAAGATATACACACTTGCCACAAACTTGTCTCAAAAAGTGGCTCAATCGTATATAATAATCCAATAATATTTTCTAAGATTTCCTGCAGAACAGTAAGGAAAAGATCTCACCCCTTCGGGAATAAGATACATCCTTGAACCGCAATCCAGCGAAAACCAACCCAAACCAATATCTTAAATAATTTTCATTGAATATACGTTTGAATCGTAAGCACCGTAAGAGTGAAAAGATGTTACCGGTGGTCAATCTTTACAGCTTGTACTGCGGTTATGAACATGTCATGCAATACAATATTAATTCATCCGAATTCACCCTTGTTTCACGGATCACTGCAGTACATCTTTCCCGAACGGTTCACTGATTTGAACAGCTAGTGGAAGTCTCTTTCGAAGCGCATCCAATAAAGTATAGGGAACCTCTCTTTACGGACACCTCACTATATTACGGACAGATATTTATCTCGGTCCCGGCAAAATCGCCATACATTCTTTGCTTCATATATACCCAACCTCTATAGAAAGGACGCCTCTACATTATGGACGCTTTTTTCTGGTTCTTTGGTGTCCGTATTATAAAGGTTCCACTGTAGAAAAAAAAACCGCAGCGAAACGACAGTTGTTTGAAAATAGAAACTGACTAAAAATAAATAAATATTTTTTCGAAAGCTTGTTCAAGAACTGGTCTTTTGTTTGCAATGTTCTTTTTTATAGCTGCGGACAACGATAACAGTAGTGCAAACTTTCGGTCCTTGCATCACTAATCTACCCAGCTCGACTTTATGTTGTAAACAAATTTACTAGGCAGAGCAGATAGGTACATTTTTCAATTTACAATCGGAAAATGCTCAAGACACACCAACAAAATAACGTTTTAGAAAAAAACTTAGAAAATGGGAAGTCAAACGTAGCGAAACTAGTGCAAAGGATGTGGTTAATCCAATAAATGGCACAAAATTTGAGAAAATTACCTCTGAGCGATGCTTCTTGTCAACGTCCTTCAAGTAGCCATAACGATGTTCTCTATGATCGATAATCAGACACTCCCTGCAAACGGGCTCATCACACGTCTCACAGAAATATTTCAGCACGTCTTTATCATGAAAGCTGCAAAGTAATGGTCGATGCATCTTTTCATGGACTTCTTGTCCATGTAGTTCTTCCAGTGCAAGAACCTCATGGTCTTTAGTGAGCTTGGTACGATAATGAGCAGCTACGCATTGCTGACAAAGAAACTCCATACATTCGATGCAACGAGAAGTCGCCGCGTTCCTGTCCTCGCAATTTGTGCAGAAAACAGGTTTGGAGCTGCTTTGAGCAACGTAGAGAAAATCCAACATATTGTTGATGAAGAAATTAGAAGACAAGGCTGTGACACCTTCCTTAGGGATTGACACTTCACATCGACATGTTGGACATACTATTGCGCTTTCTTCGGGATTGTAGAGTTCCTTTAAGCAGTGAAGACAAAATGTATGGAGACAAGGCAATACTTTTGGGGTTCTGTATGTTTCTAGGCAGATGGGACACTTGAGAAGGTGCTCCGACAATTTATCTACTTCAACAGAAGCCATTTTTTCTTGATAAGCTTTGCGCATTTGTTTTTAGAAGCCACACGCTTGTTGGTAGCCTATGAAACCTGGTAATCTCCTTGATACGTAATTATGACTATAACTTGCTAAGAAGTTATGGTCTTCCTGAAGATTTTACATTCTCACTTAACCATTCCACGGAGTAAACTGCAAAAAGCAAAAGCTTTTCTGCCAGATGTCATGGGGAACAACTAACACTCATCATGTGTAGTATTCAACAACTAAAAACAATGTTGACGATGTTCCAAGCTGTGCATTCAAATTCAATAAGTTTGCTCTCCACTGTCAATATTATCCAAAAACCTATTTGGCACTAGTTTCTGCTTGTCTGTTGTATGTCAATCAAGGGAAAATGATCTGTCGCCTCAAAATTACACTCTTGCTATGGTTGGCTGCAAGCACTGTCTACATCATGAAGATGTCGTTCGAGTCTTCTCACTTACTTGGAAAGTCAGTATAACGAGTATAACAGCTTTTTTGTTTTTTAAGATGATTTCAATCATCCAGCGCATTCAATCTGGAAAAAAGCAAAGCGATCTGTCGAATTGTTCTTTGTAGTAGCGATTTTTTTGCAAGATACGCCCAATTACGATGTAATTAATGAAGTTTAACGAGTAAGAAATCTCCCACAGACAACAACAAACCAGTGAACGCACAAAAGCTTTTACATATCTTGCCACCCGTCGTACCACCTGTTATTGTTTCACCCTCATTTATTCCTCTCACAGGAATGCAAATCGATTCTTCCATTCTACAATTTGTTATTCTATGCAGTGCAATTATTTTTTTCTCATCAGAAGCCATAAGAACCTGTTATATTGTAATTTATCTTCGAAAGTATTTATAAACAAAATATATATTAGAATGAAAATAAATGAACACAAGGGTGTATGGAACAGCAACCTCGAATGGCTGGTTTTGAAATATACCAGCTGATGAACTGGTAATATATGCTATTCGACAATGTTGCCTACTTAACTTATCTAATTGGAAGAGAAGAAAAAAAGAAAAGAAAGAAAGAAAGGAAAGAAATAGAAAGGAAAATGAAAGGAAAGGAAAGAAATAAAACAAAGGAAGGAAGGAAGGAAG